GAAAATGTTTATATTATCATTTTACTATTATTATTGTTGTTGTTGTTGTTGTTGTTGTTATTAAGTATTAATTATTATTGTTGTTATTATCATTATTATTGTTATTATTTTTGTTGCTATTTTTCTTATTATTATTGTTGTTGTTCTTGTTGTTGTTGCTGTTGTTCTTTTATTCTGATGTCTTTCTTCTTTCAGACAAAAAACAACACCTGCAATGACGATAAAAGCGCGTACATTGTCAAGCCGACAGATGGCTACAGTGCTAAAGGAGTTTACCTGCTTCAGCAACCAGAGGAGTACGTGGCCAGCCAAAATGGGGACATTGTGCAAGAGTATATCAGCGATCCCTTGTTGGTGGAAGGGTGAGAACTTTAAAGTCAGATATGTACTGTAGCAGCAGCAGCAGCAGCAGCAGCAGCAGCAGCAGCAGCAACAACAACAACAACAAAAACAACAACAATAAATATGACAACAAATTCGAAACAACAGAAACTATAATATTTACAAAGACAACTTTACTTAGCCACCTTGACAGCGCACAGCACGATCAGTAATTACAAAAACAGAAGCAACAACAACAACAACAACAAGTATAACAACAACACCAACAACAAGTATAACAACGAAAACAACAACAACAACAGCATAAATAACAACAGCTAAAACAACTTAAACAGCACCCTCAAAATCTCTGCCATTTTCCATCCACTACAGCTTCAAGATGGACTTTCGGCTCCACGTGTACGTCCATTCCCTGTTCCCTCTGTCTCTGTACATCTGCCGTGAGGGTCACGTGCGGCTAGCAACAGTTCCCTACCAGAAACCCTCCAAGGAGAACATGGCCGAGTCCTGTATGCACGTCACTAACTACTCCCATAACATATTCCAAGACAACTACATCAAGTCTGAAGACGTAAGAAATCATTTTGACTTCGATTATTCCCCCCCTCCCCCCCCCTTTCTCTCTCTCTCTCTCTCTCTCTCTCTCTCTCTCTCTCTCTCCCTTTCTCTCCCTTTCTTTCACTGTTTTTATTGTTTAAGAGCTAAACTCCTTTGGCGATATTTTATTTCAACATGTATTCAAATTTAGAAATATTCGAGTATATTAATTGTACAGGCGTGAGCTGAGAATACATCCCTGACGACCACCCGATAAACGTAGAAAGTTTTCTGTAATTTCATGGTAGTCAATTCGGCAGAGCACATTAACTTCATTATACAAACGTTTAGCATTGTTAACATTTTCCTTTTCGGGCTTCTTTTCCTCAAGACTGCCCACACAT